GGCCCTAAAGTCAAGGGTGACATCGATGTCTCTGTCCCCAAGCTGGAAGGTGACCTCAAGGGCCCTGAACTGGACATCAAAGGCCCCAAAGTGGACATTGATGCCCCCGATGTCGACATTCACGGCCCAGAAGGGAAAATTAAAATGCCCAAGTTCAAGATGCCCAAATTCGGATTTTCTGGGCCGAAAGTGGAAGGCCCCGAGGTGGACGTGAACCTCCCTGATGCTGAGGTCAATATTTCAGGTCCAAAAGTTGATGTTTCCGTCCCGGAGCTGGAGATTGAAGGCCCCGACCGCAAACTGAAGGGTCCCAAGTTCAAGAAGCCGGAGCTGCAGTTCAACGTGCCCAAGATCTCCATGCCTGACATCGATCTGAACCTGAAGGGCCCCAAACTGAAAGGAGACCTTGATGCTTCTCTTCCCAAGGTCGAGGGGGAACTGAAAGGCCCCAAACTGGACATCAGGGGGCCGGAGCTTGAGCTGGAGGGGCCCAAGATTGACCTCGAAGGAAAAGCGAAAAAATCCAGGTTTAAACTTCCCAAGTTTGGCTTTTCTGGCCCAAAGGTTCAAAGCCCTGAGGTGGATGTGAAGCTTAAGAAGCCTGAGGTGGAACTGTCTGGCCCGAAGGTCGAGGTCCAGGCTCCAGATTTGGATATCCAGGGAAAATCCAAGGGCTCCAAATTCAAAATGCCTTTTCTGAACATTTCTTCACCCAAAGTCTCGATGCCGGATGTGGAGCTGAACCTGAAGGGGCACAAAATGAAAGGGGAGTTTGACCTGTCCACCCCCAAACTGGAAGGGGAGCTCAAAGGTCCAGAGCTGGACATCAAGGGCCCCAAGGTCAACATCGAGGCCCCTGACGTGGACGTTCACGGCCCGGAGGGGAAAATCAAAATGCCCAAGTTCAAAATGCCCAAATTCGGTGTTCCTGGGTTTAAAGGAGAGGGGCCAGAGGTGGATGTGAACCTGCCCACGGGAGAACTGGACATGTCTGGTCCTAAAGTGGACATTGAAGGTCCCGAGGTGGACATCGAGGGGCCCGAGGGGAAGATCAAAGGCCCCAAGTTCAAGATGCCTGAAATGAACATCAAGGCCCCCAAAATCTCCATGCCTGACATCGACCTCAACCTCAAAGGCCCCAAGGTCAAGGGGGATGTGGACGTGTCCCTGCCCCAGGTGGATCTGAAGGGACCCAAGGTGGACGTGGAAGTTCCTGACCTTGATGTGGAAGGTCCGAAAGGGAAAATCAAAGGCCCCAAATTTAAAATGCCTGAAATGAACATCAAAGCTCCCAACCTCTCCATGCCCGACCTGGACCTCAACCTGAAAGGTCCCAAGGTCAAAGGGGGGGTGGATGTCGATCTGTCTGCACCAAAAATTGAAGGGGACCTGAGCTTGCCAGATGTTGACATCAAAGGCCCCAAAGTCGATGTTGATCTCCCCGACGTGGAGTTGGAAGGCCCTGAGGGGAAGATCAAAGGCCCCAAGTTCAAGATGCCCGAGATGAACATCAAAGCCCCCAAAATCTCCATGCCTGACGT